GGAATTGTTAAATATGCATTAAGAAAAGTAAATAACATCAAAGTCAGCATTTTGATAAATGTTTCTCACGTTCAATTAGTTACACTATACTACCGGGGGGGGGGGGGGGCTTGTTTTTTTCCAGAACGAACTAATATTAGATTTCAGTCGATAATTGCTCATCAACGTTCAGTTCAAAATGTTCAGAAAGATTTTTCTTTTTTCGGGAGACGAAAATTTCGGCTTAACGATGTTTAACTCAAATATTAATAAATAAGAAAGCTTAGTCAAACTTAGTTTGTATCGATTTGATTTTGTCCTTATTGTTTGGGGTTTACTCCTCTACATTGTGATGGTAAATCTGCAGTGTAGATGGAGATTGTTATGAGTAGTCACAGAAAGAACATTATCAATAAAATGAATATTCATATGCATACCTCTTCCTAACTACAGAAGCCTATCCATTGTCATGCTTTTTTGAAATACAATAAAAGATGGACTGCAAACCAGTTATCGGGTTGGAGAAGTCCTCTTACAAGCCATCCCCTCGATTCCCCTTGGTGAAGACATATCTACTGATTATCGATACTACTTGCACGAATTTAAAAACAGACGCTGTAAATGCCCATATTCTTTAAAAACAGATCCATTACATGATCCCAACACAGGACAACACATTTGTTACAACGTGACTTGTCAATACAGGGATTCCTCAGTTCTGATGGCAATATGATTGGGATATAACTTGGAATGATCAGTAATTGTATGCTGTCGGTTTACGTCTGAGTTTTGCAATCCCTAAAATAAAAAATAACACCTACTTGTTCGGATTTCATATAAAGAACATAATTATGCAAAGCCATATTAAATTTTTTCGAAACAATAAGCGATGCACATAATGTTTTAGTGTGGAAAAAAATATGGTTTAACGCAAATTGAATAAGTCTGTTCTGTCCGCATCTGCCTTGTTACACATAGACATTTTTGATAATCTAATTTCAGTTGGCGACAGTATTGAACTATAATGATAGACCCTGAACACAGTAGGACGATTAGAGCCCCATTGGGTTCTCTTTTTCGGTTTGTTGTGCTGAAGATACATGGCAACATTTAAATTGATTTTGTGTTGAAGTGGTTGAATGGAACAAATATGTTGTATATTTGCTGTTGTTAATGGATTATAATGGAAAATAAATAAAATACTCTCATAGTGCCCTTTATTTATTGATTGATTTTAAAAAGCAAAACCATGCTGTAGATTAGGTTGGTGACATCGATCATCCTTGGCTTGCTGTTGTGGAATAATCTATATAACATTACCATAGAGCTATGAAATGTGTACATAGAGATTTTATTGATTTTTCGTGTTTACCGCTAGGCCTATTCAATAACAGACGCAATTTAAACAACAATAACAATTTATAACCTGATAAAAAAAATCATTGATCATTTCATAGGTAAAATCACTTAACATTCACAATCAAACATCGACTTGGAGAAGCGAACACGTTTGGAGACGCAGGCCGATTTATCACAATTATTTTCTACATAAGACATTAGAAGATTATGAATTGTTCCAGTAATGTGCCCTATGGCCAGCCAGGTAGTGTGTATGTGGCGAAGAACAGCAAATGCAATTATATGATTTGCACTAAGATATCTGGAATGCCGAGTCGTAACATACCCGGAGCTCGCATCATTGGAGAATACCTATGTAAAAATGCAAAACAAGCGGCCAAAGACGTGGAACAACGACTCCACGATGAACTTGGATTAAAACGTGTACCAGATGGAACTGGGTGGTACGCTAATCAATCGAATATTCCTGAAAGTAGTATACTAGCAGTGGTTCAAAGTACCTGCTTATAATCTTATATCAATACACTATACACGCGGATGTCATTTAATTATGTTGTGCATAATAATTATTGTGGTGTGTCTATTAATTGTAACATAATCAAAAATATTCATAACTTTTAAAAAAAATCTTGATGTGAATTTTGCTTATTTGTGAAATAGAAATATGCACCAGGTAAATAACTTTGGATAAAGATTATGTTTATTTCCAGTGCAACTCACAGACATTCAATTCAGACGCCAATAAACTATAAAAATATTGTGCTTGTAATATTATTGAGACTAAAACTTGGAAGAAATAGAAGGATTTTTTTTTGTAAATTTGGACGTTTCTTGTGTAATTTCACACGTTTCTTGTGGAATTATAGCAGAGGGTGCTACGATAAATCAGATAGTGTGTATACGATTGCGTTCATGTTGTCGCTTGAGAGAAAATTAGTTGGTAGATAAAAATGTGTACACTCCGTCATATAACGAAATATCTGGTATCGCCTTCGATTGTCTTCACAAATTCTCACATTGATATAAACGTTCTCTGCTAAATCAGTTGAAATACAACCATTTACAGCCAAATGTGTCAGCGATGCTAACCTATCAGATGGTATTAGATAGCTCAGAAAGTATAAGATTACTATTCCTCGTGCATCACACCCGTCACTAATTAAGAGCTAAATGGAACGATAGATTATTCTTTCAAGAAGTTAGGCCTCGTTATAGCTAATAATACTAGGTTAAACACTTTTGTACGCAAATAAAATAAAATTATTGTATACTTGTGTGTGCTGTGCAATACGTTATCTTTGTTTATTGTGTGAAAATTTTGATTACGTGACAAACGTATCTAATGAAGGGGGCTGTTGTAAAATAACCCTAATACCTAATATACTCTACCCCGACCCAAGCTTAGATATTTTTAAAATACTGATACCAGTGACTGAACAGTAAAACCCTGTTACATATTTCAGCTCTCACGCATGAAAGGAAAATTGCATTTATTCTTATTCTTATAAGTACGGTGACTGCGGCAACGCAAATAAGCCTTCGGCCACGTCGGACGATTTCCGTTTCTTGGCAATATGTCTGAGAGTCAGTAAGTAATATTTGTTCAAATTTTGAACGTATATCTAGTGGCCCATAAAGATTGCCATTAATGTATTTTACCCCTGTGGCTGAATGGATAGTACTGTCATCTAAGTGGGTAATTTCTTCCGAGACAAGTCTAGATCATATAGATTATTCCGGGTCAGCGATAGTGCCGAATGATATACAGAGGTCCACGCTGCCGTCCTTCAGATCACCTTTATTTTGGTCTAAACTAACTTACGGGATTTTAAATGCCATTACAGTTAACTTTGAGTATGAGGTGATTTATATCAATGGGTATCCAAGAAAGGTCGCCATTCTTTCCGAGATTACTTTGTTTGCTTATTGACGAGCTCGATGGCTTCCATATGCTGTGAACTTTCAGGCGTGAAATTTAGATGTAGCTTTTATCTGCAGGGGACATACCACTTTCCGAGGAAAGACCTACTGAATATTTTACTCGGGTTTCCATCGTTTTTGCTTATGCTACGACGAATCTGTTGGGCGTTCATGTTAGTATCCCCTTTGAGTCTCGGTCCTTTATGCACGACCTCTTCGGGTCCATTCCGTTTCATTTTGTGTTTCGGTTGTTTATTCCACTTTGGCAATTTGTAAAATGTAAATGGTAGATCAACCTATCCAGCAGAATGAACGAAACGAAAATAATATCTAGTTTTATTTATAGTAACATTGTCATATCTCAGTTGGAAGCAGAGGTGAACTTCGAGCAACATATTACATTGATAATGTTAATAGTTGTTTGTCTTCTTTACAAGTACATGTACTAGCCATTACGTCTTCATCTTGGGAACTTATAAATATTACCCGCATTTAAGAAATTTTAAACTTCAACGACTAAAAGCCATTTGTATAATACTACAGGGGTCATTTTAGTTCTATGAAAGGTGCTCTGTTTAATATATTGAAGTGGTTAAACAGATGGGTGACAATGAGAAAAGGGATAAGCGGGTATTTTGCAAGATTCAACTTTCTTAGACTAACTCACAGATAGTTCCTGTCACCATCAATTGCTGAAAGTAGGGTACGATCGTCCAGTCATCCTGTCCAATTAAATAGAATAATGTTGACGTAAATAGGCGCCCATACGAAATACTTACCAAAAATGGTAATTGTCCCGCCCTAATAGCTGACGCATCTATACTTTCTATACCGTTGGTCGCCTCGGCTTACAGTCCTGGCGAGAACATCCTGTATAACTATCAGGAAGTGTGTGGCTCTTGTATTGTCAAAAGGACGTTCCAACAGCCTCCTCGACTGAGAGGCTGGGAAACAGACATCATTTGGAGTTCGTAGAGAGACATCATTTAGAGATCCTAGGAGAGACATCAGTGCCGTCCCTAGGGTGACGTTTAGCCGCCTCGGCTTCGGGGCCTGGATAGAGACAATATGTAGTGTTTCAGCCGTCAAGTCTGAGTTAATTCATGTATTTAGCAACACCGTAGTGTCACACATTGTTGATTTTAATTAACGATTAACATACAAAACAAAACACAATATGGTACCATATTTGAGTAGTGATATTAACTCCAGATATACACTGCGAACATTTCTTCAAATACCATACAATACTGGCAAGCTTTACTGAATGAAAAGAAATGGGGTTTAAAGTCTTACTTATCTGTACCAAATGGGCTAATGAAAAAGGATAACTGGATGTGACAAACTTACAGTCGCTTATTTTAATAATAGAATATAAATCAAGATTACAGTAAAAGTAGGTCATAAAATATAAATCTAGATCACAGTAAAGGCTGGTATAAGGAATTAGTGAAGTTTATACAAAGATTGAAAATAATGTACAGACAATTGTATAAAATATTAACATAATGAAAGAATTAAAGACAATACCAGCAGTGCTCATAATTTGATATTGGTGGTGATCAATTTAACTCATGAAGAATAAATTGCATCAGTACGCTAGTAAGATGTCATATGATTTAGTAAGTGTAATACAAGGAAGAGAGTGGTTATTTTAAGACCTCGAAGTATGATAATAAAAGGTAGGAACATTTCAGAACAAACAGTATATTAACGGTATTGAATTGTAAAGGGTAGGTTTGATCATGAAGCGCGTGGAAATATAATGCAGTATAACAAGCTTAAACATAATTGAAATTTCAGGTCTTAAACCCGTCTTTGTAACGGATCATATATTTACTATGTGTCATGTGGACGTATGTAACTAACTAAATATAATGAAGATTTTGGAGTTTTTCATTGTTTCTTTCCAATATATATTGCTCATCAATGGTGAGTTCGTATGTTTATTATCGTAGTATTCTGATTAAATAACTTGATAGTACATGTATTTTAATAATAGGAATTGTAACAGGGCTCCCTACTGCCGTAGTACTGTTTCCTCGAACCACCACAAATGACAATAAATTAGATTACGATATACTATAGGTATGTATATAATCCTTAAGTAGCATTTAGCGACTGGGAACACATCACTGGTTCTATTCTAAAAGCACGACGTTTCGACAAATATCATCTTATCGTTATCAAGTACAATGAGGTTAATGACGTTATCGAAACGCCGTGCTATTAGAATAAAAACAGTGATTGTTTTCCCATAGAAAGGTATGTGTATACTATAGGGAAAATCTCAAATATGTTTTAAACATACATTAAGCAAGAGCTAAATCTGCCTATTGCAGGCCTTTCTTAAGGCCTGAAATGTTATATAAACTACTAAATAGACTTTTATTAACATGACAAGACCATAATCAACCCTCGATGCCAATATTTCTCCAATACTAAGTAGATTAGAACGGTTCAGCCATATTTTGATTTAATCTAAAAATGGTGGAGCAAGGCTAAGCTTCGAACAACCAGTGCAATGGTTGCAATTAATGCACACATCTTGGCATACATCTTGTCAAACCTTCAAAAGCTAATATCTTCACTCGCAATGGAGCAATTTGAATGAAATTTTCAATAAATTCATTTTGCATTATCTTTTTTCGAACTATTAGACCGGAGGCCCAGCGCGGGGGGGGGGGAGGTCCATCAAATGGGCACAAAACCAGACCCAACTTTTCTAGAGTAAAATTTTGCGTAGAATACGATGCCGAGTGGTTATCAGTCCGCCGTTGGGGCGTTTTCGAGATATTCGGGGTCAAAGGTCAAATGAGTTCATTGGCACTGAAAGTGAATGCGCAGTCATTCTTGTATTATGAAAAGAAGCTGAAAATGATCGAAAGTAATAACACTTTCAATAAAAATGTAAACTTGCTAAATCCACCTTTATTCTTAGTGACCCTGGAGGTCAAAAGGTGAAATTTACCGTTTTTGCACTAGGAAGATTTAAAGCAATAAAATGTCAACGTAAAATATAAAAACTAAAGCGAAACCTGTTCTAATTAATAATAGGAACATTTAAAATTTATCTTTAGGGGGTCTTAGCACCGAACTTTTACTTTGGAACGTCGAAAATGATCTTGCATAACAGAACCAACACACTTCGAAACCTGTTTCAAAAATACGTAAAAACTGTCAAATCGAAATCACTCCGATTTTTTTTACAACGATTATTATACATAACGATACTAGTTATCTGAAAAACAATTGAATAGTTTCAGTGTTGGACTCCAGCCTGCAGGCCGCGTGGAGTTTTTATGAAGCTCTCCGGAACATGGACGCAGAAAAAAACCGACGAATGCATTGTACATAGTAGTTCACAGGATATATATGTCGTATTGGTAAATGTTAGCGGGGAAAATTTTGGCAGGCTTTATGACGCGGCCTGCAGACTGAAGTCCAGCCATGAAACTATTCAATTGTTTTTTTCAGACAACTAGTATCATTATGTATAGCATTCGTTGTAAAAATAATTCGGAGAGATTTTGCTTTAACAGTTTTTACGTATTTTTGAAACAGGTTTCGAAGCGTTTTGGTTCTGTTATGCAAGTTCATTTTTGACGTTTCAAAGTAAAAGTTCGGTGCTAAGACCACCTAAAGATAAATTTTAAATGTTCCTATTATTAATTAGAACAGGTTTCGCTTTAGATTTTATATTTTACGCTGACATTTATTACTTTAAATCTTCCTAGTGCTAAAACGGAAAATGTGACCTTTTGACCTCTAGGGTCCCAAAGAACAAAGGTGAATTTAGCAAATTTACATTTTTATTGAAAGTGTGATTACTTTCGATCATTTTCAGCTTATTTTCATGATACAAGAATGACCGCGCATTCACTTTCAGTGCAAATGAACCCGTTTGACCTTTGACCCCGAATATTTCGAAAACGCCCCAACGGCGGACTGATTACCACTCGGCATCGTATTCTACGCAAAATTTTACTCTAGAAAAGTTGGGTCTGGTTTTGTGCCCATTTGATGGACACCCCACCGCGCTGAGCCTCCAGACTATATTATAGTAAGAATGGCCAACTCTTTATCTAAATCTTACATAATGTATCTTTAATGAATAAAACTGATTAATTTGTGATGAAGACTCTGACTTGATATATAAAATCTAACAGTCAAAAGATATAACAGGCGATATTAGTTCGAACTTCTAATTATTTAAATGCTACACAATAATTAAAATATAGTGTAGAATCAGTTCTTAACCTAGCCATCAAGGTGTTTTTCGTCGGCACGGGTCAAACTTTTTTTTATTTCATTTAAGAAATGATTTCTGTATAATATTGGTGTTTATCGTTGTATTATCCATCAATATTGTGATAATTTACTTATATTATACAGCTACAGAAAATGGGATTCTTTATTCGTTTAAATCTGGTGGAACCTTCCCGTCAGTGAACTTGAGTTGTTTTCACAATAGTACTATAATACATGTAGAGAGTATCAAGTATTTTTATAAAGAAGACTTATCTTCCAATAGCCAGGATTGTGGTCAGTCATTGACTGGTAATGATACAGGTTCAATATCCACTTGTACGGGACAACCATCACCATGTACACAATATATATCTAATTATGATAATTGTACAAGGAGTGCTATCAAATATAGATGTATTACAAGTAAGTAAACGTTTACATATAAATATTTAAAAACCTGAGATCACTTACAGTACATATAAATTTACTGAAAATACATGTACTGTTTGTAATAAGTCATTAAGTTAGCCTGTATACATGTAATATGGTTTTTAACTACCAATATGGACAGAAGATTTTTCTTATATTTTTTAGATATTGACGTTAATCCTATTTCTTTATAAATATTTACATATCGTATTATTATCATTATCGCGACACGCCGTTATGTTCGTCCAATCAGATCGCGAATACCACAGAAGCGTATTTGGGGTTGTATTTTTTGGCATGATTTTATTTTATGTCATCATCACGATATTAATGCATTTTTAATCATATTTTATCGCAATTTATCGACGTTATAATCAAATTTGTCCACATAGTGACCAGTATACGCTTTCATAAGATATCTCTCCTGAGGAATTTCAAATTTAAAGTAAAAACATTATATCTTGGACTGTCGCTGTAAAGATTTTTAAAAATGTGTATCCCAATCTCTAAATTTGTCATACTATATGTTTTTCAGGTGTATCTCTGACAGGCTCTACTATTACTAATTATGTAACTGCAACAACTGTTGAACAAACTTTGATACCAGACGGAACAACAAATATACAGTTACTTAGTGATTCAAGTACAGGTTCCTCTTTTACTAAAGCAAATAATGCAAATAATTCATCTTCTAATACTACATCTATTTTAACATCGAAACCATTAATTAGCCAAATATCAACAACTGACCCAACACCAAACTCGTCATCAAACTCAACAACTGATGCAAAAACTGACCAAGCAACGGAATCAACTTCAGACTCAAGAACTGCAACAACATCAAAATCCAAATCATCAATTGGTGCAGCACCAAGTCAAACAACTGACCCAACATCAAAATCCATGCGAACACCACAAATTGATCCAACATCGAAATCAACAATTTACCAAACGTCAAATTCATCAACTGGTCCAACATCAAGCTCAGCAACTGATCCAACATCGAAATCAATACCAACATCATCAATTGGTTTAACATCGAATCCGACAAATGACTCAACAACAACAACAGCTGATACAACATCAACTCTAACAAATGAACCAACATCAAAATCCTCAAAAGACCCAACACCATTCCCAACAACTGACCCAACATCGAAATCAACACCAAGATCACCAATTGATTTAACATCAAACCCAACAAATGGCCCAACATCAAATTCATGGGGTTCAATATCAAATGCAACAACTAATATAAAAACTGACCCAATATCAAACCCAACAACTGATCTAACATCATCAATTGGTCAAACATCAAAATCCTCAACTGTCCCAAAACCAAGCCCAACAACTGATCCAACATCAAATCATCAATATGGCCCAACATCAAACTCTACAACTGATCCAACATATGGCCCAACATCAAGTGTAACAACTGATCCAACCTCAAATCATCAATATGGCCCAACATCAAACTCTACAACAGATCCAACATATGACCCAACATCAAACTCAACAACTGATCCAACATCGACTGGTCGAACATCAAAATCTTCAACTAGTAAAACATCAAGCCCAACAACTGGTCCAATATCAAAATCAACAACTGACCTAACAACTGGTCCAAAAACAAGCCTAGTAATTGGCTCAGCACCAAAGTCAACATCATCAATTGGTCCAACTTCAAAATACTCAACTGAATCAACAACCATCGAAGATACAGTAAATGAAAGCGGTGGAGGTAAATATCAGTGGCGAGAGCATTAGATAAGAACTAAAAATAATAATGTATTTGTGGTTTTATTTAGAGCTAATAATTATATCTTAAATACTTGATATTTCAGATAAAATGATAATAATTTGGTCTATCATTGCTGTTCTGGTTCTGGTTTTGATATTGATAGCAATGGTAACTATATGTATAACATTAAGGTGAGATATTTGAGGTTTCAGACTGACAATGTACAATCTGTACTTCATATATTTGACAAATACTTATTCGCAAATTACTACACAGGATACTATATCTCAGTACTAATTAAATATCAAAACACCATATTTAACGTATAACCTTTTAGCGTGCATGGCCCATTATTTTGTATTTATATTATGCAATGGTCAGAATCGTTCAATCATTTATATTTTATCAAAAAGATAATTAAGGCTATTTGAAGTACCAACGCCGTAAATTTACGAATAGTTTAAAAGTAATTGTATTATAATCTCATTATTTTTAGAAAACGAAGAAAAAGGTCCAATGTCTTAAAGCCTAAGTTTGATGCAAATTACTTCGTCCCAATGGAGGGTCCTAGTTTAAAAACACAGGGCGAGAATGATAAACTTAGGAAAGCTAGTATTGGTCCATCTGGCATACACAAGCGGTATACCCCGGAATATGCTGTTCTCAATACAACAGGTAAAGTAATGTATGGCGATGGTACTGATGGAGTATCTAACAATAGCGAATCCTCAAATATGGAAATACTAGAGAATGATCTATATGTTTCTTACGATTCATTCAAGAGACACGATGATCAAAATGCCTCCACAGCAAATACTATACCAACACATCAAGTAATGACTATTGATGGCACTGTTGGTGCATCTACATGTAACGATAACGAGCTGTCATATATGGAAATGTTAGAAATTGATCTGCACAGTCCTTACCAGCCATCTGACAATCCAGATCACCATGACCCTTCTTCAACCAAAGCTATATCTACAGATCACCGTGGTGCGCCTTCAACCAGTTCTATACCAACCGAAGAGTTGTTGTTTTATTAACAAAAAAACTATTCTACAAATGATTCTCTAGACAACATGTGGAATATGGAAATCATGGCAAACGATTTCTATGATCCTTTGTGGTATTCCGCTAAGACATTTTTGAAACCGTTGAAAAGTAATGTGTAAGATGATGCCCCAAAACCTGGATACAAATAGTCAAATTCTGAAACGTTTAGAAAACAAAATTTTCGACAAAAGGAATAAAAATGGGAATACGCCAAGCGCTCGTCCACCATAAATAGAAATCTTAGAAAGTGATTTACTGGTTACTTTAGAAAAATGATTTATACGTTATTTTAAAATTAGAAAAATGATTTATACGTTACTTTAGAAAAATGATTTATATGTTTTTTAGAATAGAAAAGTGTGTGATTTAATTTCTGTAGATAATGTTAGATAGTATAACGTATTTGAAATCTATCCGAAAATACACAGATATGAATGTGTAGAAAATGCATGTATATGTTCGTTTAGTAAAATCGTTGTACACAATCTTGTAAAAGACGTTATATAATTTCGATTTATTGGGGTTGTTTATAATGATATTGGTAATATAGTAGTATTTTTAACCCGCAGTATACTACTACTGATATTTCATAAATTAATTGTCTTTGACCCAACTACATGAATGACCGTTAGTTGCATAACCCGTTGGGTTTTTTTATGTATTACATATGAAAAAGGGATCACACCCGATATTTATGTCGAAGGGGAACAGGGTGCTTTAGTGGCAATTTCACGCCCATTTACCCACACATATGACTGTATAAACAATTCACTTATTTTGTATCAGATGGACTGGCAGACGAAAATGTCGCTAAAGGCCTCAAATTTTCTATTAATGGGAGACAACTCGTATATTGTGTGCAATGTTTTTAGATGAAATGAAATGCAATAAGGTTTAACGTCTTACTTTTCTGCACCGAATGGGCTAATGAAGGCGGGTTTTATTAAATGAAACCTCCTACTTTTCTGCACCAGTCGGGCATAAAATGAGGGAAATTTCGGGGTTCGGGGGTGCTAAGGCCTACTCTTATTTCAAATTCTAACTGCAAAGGGTTCTTTTACGTGCAAGCCAACGTGTACACAGGAATTCGATTTTTTGTTCCATCCGTCTTGTAAAACTGACAATGGGACACCATGCTGAACAATCTCGGGGAACTTTCTCGGCCAACACCGCAATCTCCTGGTTAATTAGTGAGCCATCGCCGTTTGTGTGATTCATTCAGGTCAAGAACTTATGAACTTAACTTATTTTCAGGCCTTCTGTTCCAGAGTTAAGCCTCCCTTTCTGAAAACCATGTGAACGCACGAGAACGCAGTTTCTAATGGAATTTCTTTTTCAAATAAAGCAATTTGGCCCGAAGCATTGGGATCGGATAGGATGAACCACTTTTCAGCATTTTAGGAGATTCTGTTCCAGGTATCTATTATTTGTCCGGAAAAGCTTATGAACACAAGCTTCGAGCCATAACTGCCGTGTGGGCTTATTTCCCCAGTTTGCGTGGCTAGCTTTATATCATGTTAATCCAAAATTGTATCAGTAAATTGGACATTCACAGGAATTGTAGATTAGATCGAATGCAACACTCGGCCACATTAGGTCAAGTAGTTATATTAGCACTTTGGCTTGAGGTATATTCAAAGCTTATCTAATATATGTTTTTATCATTTATTCTATATTACAAGGAATCGCGAACCGAAAACAAGGATGCTGAAAACTACGAACATTAAATGTAATTTGAATGATCTTTAAACCGCTAATCATACTTGGGATCATTTTTCAAACTAGAAAATTGAGAAAGCTTAATCGGTTCAAAACTGGTTCAATTCCATTCAGTACTGAAAATTTCACATAATTCAATATCCTCTACAGACGATATAATCAAGCTAGCGCCACCTATAAAACCTTTTGATTGGCCTATTTTTTGACCCAATTGAATCCATTGAGATTATCTACCGTTGATATTTTGATTTTCTTAATTAAAGGTTTAACGAGCGTAAATAAAGCGTAAGATATTGTAAGATATGAGATATGACGATCAGTAGATAAAATAGATCAAAACATTACTGTTGGGGCTTGAACTGTTGGGTGAGGTGTTGTGGGGGAGGGGAGGGGAGGGGGGGGGGTAAAAAGACAAGTGAATTATCACAACAGAATAAGACCAGGAAACACCAATCTCGTATCAAATTGTTATTAGTTTTATCGAAATCAACCAAATGAAAGTACTCATATTATTGCATATTAAAAGATGTTAAGAACTGATCAATCTGATTGCAGTAGACCAATGATAACATTGGTGTGCATTTCTATATTAAAATCAATTTATTAGAAAAAGAGTTATTTATTTTCAGAGAATTATTAATCAATTATTTTCTCACTAAAATGTTCCTTTACTCTGTATAGGCGTTCACAGTAACTGACACACGGCCGTTGATCAGTAAAACGTTGTCGAGTAAAATTTACTGTGAACTGAAATATTTTCGACAAGGAGTCAATAGGGCGGTTCCTGGACGTGCGAGAGTAATGAGACCTACGTTCAGAGCTAAATTTTAATAATCCATACAGAGCCCTTTAGTACGACAGCCCGATAATCAAATGTTCCAATTCCATGTGCTTGACATGCAGTTAACGGCCCGGAAATTATGTCAACCATTATTCCGATTGTCCCTTTTCTACTTTATATACTATGCTTCAACCTTACGATCTGAAAGATAATTTGGATTGGTTTGTTGATAAAGCCTTCAATGGTGCATTTGGAAAAGGCAAAAACTTGGTTGCCATTTACGTTAAAATAATAAAATGCTGAAATCCCGACACTATTAATTCCCAAAGCATAATATTGAAGTTGAGGATCCGATAATACTGTCGCAATGGTTCCGACCTGCAACGTCTAGTTATATTTCACACAAAAAACGAAGCTGGAATAAAGAAAAAACTTCAAAATGTCTTGCTATTCTGACGACTGATTGAATGATTTGAGGATTGGTGTTTGACGAAAACTTTCAATTTCAATAATTCCCAACACAGAATGGCAAACGTGTGGATATTAGTATAAATTGTGTGTTGTGTTTGAAATTTCTTGGCGTTAGATATCAGACCCGAAACAAGTGGTATAATGTTATTGCTCTACCCAAAAAGATATTGTATTCTAGAAAAAAATGATATGAATGGCTTATCAATCATAATTAATACTTTGTAGCTTTAAAATAGACAGAACTAAATGATCATAATCAATTTTTACTGTTATTGTAATTCATATATCTAACCCCACTTACTTAAAGATCAAAAAGGCGTGACGATATACCGTGCTTCATTCAATACCTTTATTGAACGAACTTTATATAGGTATCAATAGATAAACATGTATATACTTGATATTTATAAAACATCAATATGGCGTTATAAAATACAGGCATGCAACATTTAAACTACAATGAGATACAATCATTTTAAATATTCAAGCATAATTAACAATTTTCTTCTGGAGAAGCATTTAATTTTTGACGAAGAAAGCGTTGGTAGATAATGAAGGGTTTGATATCGGTATTGATATATTTACATTTCTGTAGGACAGGTGAGTTATAATTCAATTCAAACTAACTTTGTGTAACTGTATATCGGACGTATGGGTTATTTACATTAATAGGTTGAGAATCTTCTTTATGTGACAAATGGATGGGTCTACCTCTGATTTCAACAGACCAATGTGTTCAGACCCCCTAATACACCTATCAACAGTAAAGTTGATTAGATTCTTGATTGTAGTACCTAATTATGCAATCTCGTTATGTTCTAAAATCTAAATACAATTCACGGGTATTTTACAGTTACAGTATAAATGGAATTATATTTCTGTGGTTTGAGTTCAAAGTATGCATTCGGAAATTCCAAGTTTTTTTCGGTCTGTCCCGCAAAAAAGAAGCACACATGTTCGCAAAATTTCAGGTATTTGAACGCAAAAACTATGCATCGAGAACTTTGGCCTTCAGCGCCTTCACAAGTATCAAATTTTAAAACGTTCCTGAAAAAAAAAGTCTAGACCCTTATGAACAATTCCACCGAGTTTTTTAAAAAAAAATGGTCAATAACGTTGTCTAAAACACATGCAACTTAATCGATTGACAAATATCTAATTATCTTGTAAGAATTTCGGATGCCAATGGTACTTGTCAGGGGTCTAATTCTGAGTGGATTACTACAACTGTAGTGGATGTAATGTTTTTTTCAGTAGACAAATTAGCGTACTTAAAGCATCTTGTGGAATAACTTATTGAGGTGTATACTGAAATAGATAAATGCCTATTAGCGTGACCAATTTGAACTTTCTATAATTTCATATAGCGTCATATTTTATGTTGGTTTAAAGTTGGTACTCAAATGTGCCGTTCAAACAATCACGTACGGTTGAGTTACAATTCCCAGGGGACTTGTTAATATATGTAATGAGTATTTTTTACCGTAGGATAAACTCAAATACTTCCTGTGAAAATACCAGAAACAACTGTACAATAAGTTATATTATTGAAATAGATATCTACAAAGCTGAATGCACCGGAGGAAAAATCTAAATGTTTTCAAAGTTTATATTGTACCATTTCTACACCAGAACCTGGTGTCAATATTACAATGTGCTAGTAGCAGCTGAATTGAACTATAAATGCATTAAAGGGGACTATATCTCTTCTCTTTTTTAAAAAGAAAATGTATCTTCGATATCTGAGCTACCATCAACTACTTCCCAAAGTAAAACTACAACATTACCAACAACAACATTACCAATTACTACTTATAATAGACAGAATGGTGACATCACATCGACTTCTCAACACGGTTTATCATCAATAAGATATAATAGAAAATATCAGAAATCTAATAACAAAGGTAAGCGCAAACATCTCTAACAACAGGTATAGCAAACCACAGGTACTTAATAATTTATAATTATTCAGCAAAACATAAACTAAAATATTTGAAGGATGCAGATTTTTGATCCACAAACAGCCAAGTCCTGCACAGGTTTTAATGTCGAGGCAGACAAATTGTAATATATTACATTAAATGATATACATACACAATCATCCAATTAAGTACATTGCATTAGACATAATAAAAAAAGAGATAACAATTATTAATATTTAAAACAATCCTTTGTTTTATAGAGATTTGTTTACTTAATATAAGATATTATTTATTTCAGGTCGTGACTCCCTACAGATTATATTGGGTGTAGTGCTTGGTATTTTAATTGTCTTCACCATTGTTTTTGTTATTGTACTCTTCTTTCTCAGGTAAGGATACATAATAGAAAAGGTTTGTTGAAAACTTTCTGAAATGAACACCACTACATGGTAATTTTAACAGTTTTGTATTGATACTTCCAATATAATTATCTAAAATCTTTAATACTTCCAAATAATGAGAATATTTCCAAATACTTATTTTCTTTATTCTAGACGGTGGATTCAAAGAAAACGACTTGAGAATAACAATGGGACGGGTTTTAACAATCCAGCATTTGATGAATCTAATTCTCGTCAGCATGTGAACTCTGAATTCGTGTTATCGTCTGTTAGCGAAGGACAAGAAAAGCACAGCGACCATGTTGATGACGAGGATGATGATGATGATGATGATGATGATGATGATAATGATGAAGTAAGAGATATTAAACTTGAGGATGCCAAATCAAAATTAACATATCAATGTAATGAGGTTGGCGTTGGTAATGACTGTAATGCTACAGGTCATGAAGCTCAATCTTGTCCCACTGAAATAAAGGAAGGAGCAAGAGAAAACCACAGCCACAAACAGGGTTTAGGGCAGCTAGTTTTTTTTCCTGGGACTACAACCAATCGCGGTGAAATCAACACAATAGAGCACCAAAAGAAACGACGAAAACGACACAGGAAGAGCGAAAGTCCTGAAACACCAGGTGAGATCCTAAGACTTCGTAATAACGATCATCAAGCAAATAATCCAAATGATTTGGAACTAAGTGAGGCTTATCAACCGCATCAAGACATTAAAACTACTAATGGTCATGATGTCTCAGAAATGACAGATGACAGTGCAAAGGAAAATAATGTTCCTGTGATAAAAGACAGCAACTCCAGAGGTCTTCGAAAATCTGTGAATTTATTAGGTGATGATATAAGTGTAAATGAATTACTGGAGGAAGCATCTTATGAAATAAAAACATGTTTATGTGCTGATGGTGATACTATGTCTAATCATAGTATTATTTTATCAGCACCTATTGATGATACAAGACGACATCCTATAGAACTACCTGTAGAAAATATTACTGATATTGCTTGATTTGAATTTTCTATAAACAATAATAATATGTTATAATCTGTACACGCTGGAATGTTATAATTGTAGTATATTATTAATGTAGTAGCGTTATCCTCACTTTGATCTGCCGAACATTCTAAAATCACTAAGGGATTTTTACACTTTCTGGGATTGTTTGAGTTATGACACAAACCATATAAGAGCTATTTAAATTAGGGTCTCTCTCTCTCTTAGTTCAATATAATATAGGTATATTATGACTTGACGAAATTATAACATATTGGCATTCAATTTAATTCAAACCAGATTTGTATGTGTTCTTTTGTTGACTTATCTAATAGTCGTGTATAAAAGGAAGTGAATAGTGGCCACATGCCAATAAAATATAATACATGTATATGTAATAAATATAATGTTATAATATCTTGTATTCAATATCAAATAAACCAGACTACTACATGTACAACAATTTATTAATAATCCAGAGAAGATGTTGATATGGTTATTTCTCGTGATTGTTTGTTCTGGTGTAGGTAAGACATTAATCAGTATATCAACAGGTTATTAAACATAGTTAGCAGATGTGTACGCCACATTTTCGTGGGCAAAATATCAGAATATACGAGTGAGATTATTAAATAATGTACTTCATCTATTTATAGGAAGTCTCCCATTTTCACTTTCCCGGATTTTGCATGGAAATTTTTGTTGACGTTTCGATGTAGAATCGAATAATACAATTTCCATTTTCTGCCTAGATTTGGTGAATATTCATGATTTGAGAATAAAGGATAAGGAAGAAATCATACATGAATAATGGAAAGCATACACAATATCAACCTCACATTCTTATATTCAATTAACATGGTGTAGAAATTCAATTGAGATAGTCAAACCCATTCAATATTTATATCGGTTGATTATGACAAGATCAAAACGAGAAGACACGATTCTTGAGTGGGTAAGGCACTGGCTCCCTAACCACGAGATCTAGGGAATAATAATCTAAATATTGTGTCTTGTAAGCCAACTTGTCAATCACAGAAATTATTTAAAGCACCTATTATAATTATGTTATATTAATGTTAACAGAATGGTCGCACTGCACGAACAGAAAACCGTACGGATTAATACATATCTATCACGTGTAAAACTTGGTTTTCAACACTTCTTTACTCTGGGCGTTTATCCTACAATTGGAAATGCCACTGGATTTTTGGATAACCACAATTTCATGCGATTGGGAAATATGTGGTTGCCTGGAGACATGACAAGGTCGAGATTGATAAAACTTTTAGCAGTAGAATATCTGGTCCATGATTGTATATGTAAGCCATTTGGATTCCTGGAAGTATAACATGCATAAAACATAATATAATCTTATCGTATATATTATATCATATAAATATCATCATCGATTTGTCAAAAATAGTCAAATTCCACCATATTGGTTGTATCCTCACTAAAGTTGGCCATAACAAAAAGTCAAAAACAATTTTTTACCTATCCAAAGCAAAGAAATTATTGCTGTACTTTGGCATTGATCACTTTCAGCCTACCGTAGCAGAATTTGTGCCTAACCCCGCCATTGCATTTCTTCAAGTTATATAACAACAACATCAACAGGAAGCTGATGAACTCAAAATATAATTTGCAGAGAATGTAAGCTAAACTGTTTAACATATATTATGCTCTTTTTCGTATATTGTGATCTAAATACATGTAGACTTGTTTCAATAATTATACTTACGGTTCTTTCATTAGTTATGCCTCAATTAGCATTCAAAACAGCTTCAAACAAAACCCAAGCACAAACAATCCTTACCCATGTGGTTATAAAAAAAGCAGATTTTAAAAACAACTGGTATATTAAAATAAAACACTTGTATAGATATACTACTTCTGAATTTTAATAAGATGCTACATTTCAATACACATACAGGTTTCGTTATCAAGCAAATAAGTAGTATATCCATACAATTGTTTCATTTTGTGATATCTATTTCTATAGGTCTTATAAGGAACTGTTTATTGTAAATCACTAATCTTACCCGCGTTTTGCAAAGTTTGTCCAGTAAATCTGCAGCTTGTTAGAAAATTCCACTTCAGCCTGTGTGTATGTGGTACCTGGTGGAAATGATATGGCAGGACCAAATACAAATGGCAGTTCACCAGCATGAGGAACACCAACAAACCAGGGGTAGTTAACTCTAATGGTACTAGATACAGCTTCATGTGTAAAATAATATTGATAGGATGATCGCCCCTTACTCAGTTGTGTATGGACATCTAAGATAGCTACAGTTGGTGCAAGGAAGGACATATCCCCGTACATGTCTACGACCTGCCTAGCTTGCTGATCATCTGGTAATCCAGCGCTGGAATACGTCTGACATATTTCACTTGCTACAAGAGGGGAATTCAAATAATAATCCCTAGATATAGCCGTGGAGATGTTGAAACATAGAACCCTGGTGGGTATTCCCTGTCTTAAATCCATTTGAAGTTGATTCTGGTAGCCAGACAATGGTCCTAATATCAAAATTCCTTCAGCACTATTCGTTCCCGCCATTAAATCCACATTCGGTAACGGAATGTCCGCAGCCGTTAGTAACTGGGATGGTTGTTTTTGTAAAAAGTCGCCATCGACCACAGGCCCTATCTCAAGTCTAAACGCAAGAAAATGTTCTTGTTTGGCTATGTTTGACGCTATAAGAATATCAACAGCAGGTTTAGATATTAAACACATGGATATATTCCTGACATTTCCACCTGGAAAACAACCAATCTGGATTAGAAATCTCCTTGAAAAGCCAATAGGATCGAAAGCCAGAGCTCGGGGTGATAAAGTGGTTCCACTTTCACATATAGCGCGGTTAAAGAGACCGATATTCTGGTTGGATACAAGATGAAGACCCACACTGTAAGCTCCTGCTGATTCTCCGAAAATGGTCACAAGACTGGGATCTCCTCCAAAAGCAGCGATGTAGTTTCTTACCCACAAGAACGACTGTCGTTGATCCCATAATCCATAGTTTCCAGGTAGTTCCGAATACTCTGTTCCTAGGAACCCAAACACATCCAAGCGATAATTAATAGTAATAACTATAACGTCACCGGTGAGCGCCAACAACGCACCATCTTGGGATTTTCCTTGCCCATTAACATATCCTCCGCCGTGTATATACACCATAACAGCACGTGGAGATCGTATATCTATGTTGTTTGGGATATAAATATTCAGTTTTAAGCAATCTTCACTCATTTGGTGAATTGGTAACTGACTTTGGACACAAGCTGGTCCGTACGCAGTAGCATTCAATATACCAACCCAGGGTCTTACCGGGACTGGTTTCTGGAACCGTAATAAACCAACGGGAGGCTCTGCATAAGGAACATTTAAAAACTGGAAAACGTTTCTGGTGCCATATTGTTTTACTGTACCTAATATAGACCCAAGGGGTGTATTTACCAGTACCGAATCAACAAAGTGAGAATCCAATGCACTGTAAACAACAAATAAACAAATTACCCACTTCATCCTGTGTTCCTCCTAGTGACTATTTGGTCCGATATTATTTCTGTAATACTAAATAATGTCACACATATATTAAACAGTATGATTAATATGCAATGTGACTTTAGATAATAAAGGAAATAATACACACTATCTCAGTATGAACTCCATAACATACCTTTGTCACTCGACATCAAATTAATACACGTCCTTGTATAGGTTAATACTTTTAAATTTGTCTACCTTTGATTAAGACACGGTGAATATTGTAGACCCCTTACTACCCATATATCCCACAATACTTAAATGTCAAGACTTGCAAACTATTTGCTTAAAGTCAGATAGTCCGTAAAATAGGAGTGGAAGTAATTGTATAAAATTCTCTAGTAGTTTCCAAAAACAGCCGGTAAGTGAAAAAACCAATACAAGAAAGTCGCGACCCGGGTCGGACGTCTAATTTCATTCATCAACAGTACATAACCCTCAATACAAACAAATAATTCCCAGGAAGAAGGATAATTTGGGAAATAATGGTGTGATATATTGATATTCATATGCGTAACCTATTGAAATAGAATGAAAATAAAGGAATGTAAAGTGTTGCGTGTCAGTATAAGATCTATCCCAATTTACTCATTAATCATTTCTCTTTTTTTTTTCATTTGTCGAACAAAAGTAACTTTTTGTTATAATCTTTAGTATTTATGTTGTGACTTTCTGGTGAATTTCCATAAACTTGGTCAGGCATGTTGATATATTGGGTCTATAAAAGCTGACATTTATCGTCAGAGAACAATCCAACTTATATCATTAATTTTGATTTCAATACCAGAAAATACAAAACAAAACATAGATTCCAAATCCAAATCTAAATATGAACCAAATCCACTTAATAACAAATATGGTATTAACTAACACAAAATATCAAAGAAAGATATGTTTCTATAACGAATGGGTATCCTTTTGCGCAGAATCGCATTAAACTTAATTAAACTAAATGACGTTAATATATATAGATAACTGTGATAATGTTTTATACTTCTTTTTCAGACACAAATACGCTAATAAGATGTAATATAGACGATACAAGTGATGTGTTGCTTGACTGTAAATCTGATCATAAAATATCAGTTGATCGGATGATATATACTGTTGGTTGTGGTGTAATAGGGGATTGTTCTAGGTCGATTGGAAAAGAAGATTCTGATGTAAATCCTGTATGTCAAGGTCAATATGGAAACTGTGTCCAGCCATTAACTTATAAAATACTAGACAGTTGTAAAGGTAACAAATCTGTATCAGCTGAGATAACATTTACATGTGAAAAAAATCAAACGTTACGTGATTCAGGTAATATAAGTACAGTTATTTTATCAAAAATATAAGTTTTGTATAAAAATGTTTGTAGTGGGGAAGGAAAATGTCCTAAACCATTACACTATAAATACTCTACAGTTGTAAAGGTAACAATAATTGTGTAGCGTTTGAGATAAATATCGATTTGAAAGAAAACAAAGTTAACGGATAATGGTAATTTCAATTGCCACTGTTCAGAAGATCAAGCGTGGCTGTTTAAAAGAGTGTATACTAATTCAAATCTTGTGGTCTCAAACTAAAATTCTGCGGTGGGGGGGGGGGGGGGTATCTTTCCCTAGAGGTTACAGGTTTTATAGGGGTTTTTTCTGTTTTTTTTTTTAGGGACGAACCTTATAGATTTTCAGCGCCACGCGACCTTCCGTTCCCGAGTTACCTCTCCCATGTGTCCCAAAACATATTTCTTCCTAACTTGGAGTGAAGCATTGGGGTCGTGAGCGGTTCAGCCAATAACCTTGTTAACGCGACTGGGACTATAGTTTTGTATGGATTTATTTTTCAAATTTGGTATGAAGCACTGGAGTCATGAATGGACAGACCCCACAATTTCATCTTTCCGGGACCTTCATTCGTGTAAACATGACATATATTAATTATGATTTCAGATGAACTAACAACAGAAATTAAATATGGATCAAACGATACCACTTGGACAACGAATATATTCTGTCCAAACAAGTCTATAGTTTATGTAGACTCGGTGGAATATTTTAAAATCGTAAAGAACGCCTCTTGTCCGGGAGCTGGTGGTCTTCTACCTGTAAATATACCAAGAGAACAGAATAGATTAAATGATTTATGTTTAGAAAAACAAGAATGTCATCCATCTTTACTGTATAATTTTACACGTGAAGCTTGTCAATATACCTGGCCTAATATGGGAGCAAACGTCGTTTATAGATGTCTTACTAGTAAGTTTTTATTATTGTGTTAAAATGAGGCTACACTAACAAGTATCTATCCTTACATTAATTAATACAGACTTATTAGTTATATAAATCACGATATCTAACAGAATAATCGTTGTACATGCGTATCGTATCGGGAAACAAGATAGTCGAAATATGTTCATAATCCACAAAATGAATCGATACGTCATGTGTTTTGATCTTCCTTATTTCAGATGAATTAGTGTATAATGTTTGTTCCAAATCAGTTAGAACTATCCACAATTCTATATCTACTTTATATATGACGTCACCATCATCATCACAGAATACATCTGACTGTGGTTGTCTTGTCTATGGTGATATCCAGACGGTTAAAATTCTGTATATTAATCAATCTACAATCAACTCTACACGTGATAGATTATCCTTTAATCCACCAACTATAGTAGAATTAAATACAAATACAATAATATACAGAGATATAGCAGATCTGGTTGTTAAATATAATAGTAGAAATCACAATAATGAAAAACATCTACTTGAATTTAAAGGTACGTTCACAAACAGCTGATAGATTATAATTAACTACATCGACACTTCCCTTTGTTAGCATAATAAGGGTGGTTACAGTAGAATTAAAGACCAATACAATAATACCCAGAGATATTGCAGATCTGGTTGTTAAATACAATAACAAAATTCATAATAATGAAAAACATCCACTGAAATTTAAATGAAATGAAATGGAGTTTAACGTCCTACTGTTCTGCTCCTAACTTGGGCTGATGAAGACGGGCATACGCCATACAGTGTGCTATGATGGAAATTTTGCCCGGACAGCGGCACTAGGGCCTAGGGCCTACTCTTATATCGAATTCCAACTGCCAAGGGATCTTTTACGTGCACGCCAATGTGTACACGGGACCTCAGTTTTTCGTCCCATCCGAACCACTAGACAGCTTTCCTTGTCAGCCCCTCCGTCCTGCATCACTGACAAGGGAGAACCACGCCGGAAAATCTGGATGAACTTTCTCGGCCAATGCAGGGATCGAACACCCGACCTCCAGGCTAGCGAGCTAGCGTCTTACCCACTTAGCCACGTGATCCCCTCTGAAATTTAAAGGTAAGTTTGAGAAAAATCAAATTCGTAAAAATATATTGACACTACACTTTGTAAACGTTATAAGGTTGTGAATCCCCCCCCCCCCACACACACCCCACCCCTCATTAGCAACGCACGAGGGGTGATTGATAAGTAGTGAAATTCAAATCAAATGTATTTATTTTTCAACATAGTCCAATGTAATACACGTCTGCCATCAGTGTTGCAGAGCCTTTATTCCAGTTCTGTAGAAGTCTTTGTCTTGAGTGTGTAGAAAATCATCCACTGCGGCAATGACGTCATCGTCAGACGGGAAATGCCTACCGGAAAGACATTTCTTCAGAGCAGGAAACAGATAGAAGTCTGGGAGCTAAATCAGGAGAGTAGGGTGGATGCAGAAGAAGTTGAAAACCAGTCATGGATTGGTTACATGGCAACAGCTGATTTGTGCACTGGCGCATTGTCCTGGTGGAAAATCACACCTTTGGTCAGCTTTCCTTGTCTTTTGGTCTTTTGCCTTGTTTTAAGTGCTGCTTAGTATTTACCGTTAATTGTTTGACTCTTTTGGAGGTAATCCACCATGAGAACACCATCAGAATCCCAGAATACTGAGGCCATCACCTTTCCTGCCGATGAAACAGTCTTTGCCTTCTTTGGGGTCGGCGACGTCACATTTTTCCACTGTTTTGATTGCTCTTTTGTTTCTGGCTGAAAGTGGTGGACCCAAGTTTCATCCATAGTAACAATTTGTTTTAGGAAGCGGTCAGGATTGGTTTCAAATAAGGCTAGATTCTCTTCTGACATGATGTGTCTTGAACGCTTTTGATCAGGCGTCGAAAGCTTTGGCACCCATCGTGCTGAAACCTTTGTCATTTCCAAAGTTTCAGTGATAATGGAATGAACTCTCTCCTGGCTAATACCCCAGCTATGAATCGTTCAGTAACTCGCCGGTCATTCATTATCAGATCATGGATTTTTTGTACCATTTCAGGTGTTGACACAGTTTTTGGACGACCAGGGCGTGGTTCGTCTTCAATGCTGTCTCGGCCACGCTTGAATTCAGCTGACCACCTTTTAATTGTGGCATATGAAGGAGCATCATCTTCTAATGTCTCAACCATATCATCATGCATGGCTTTCGGTGTTAGACCCTTTTTATGCAGATACTTAATCACAGCTCTCGCCTCGATATGGTCTATTTTCTGATAACAACAGACCCTACTTGATTGTTATGGCCTGTCACAACCAAACAGTTTAACCGAATGTGATGAAAGTTTGTGACAGAGCCCGAGGAACATAATAGTGCACGTGCAAAACGTGGTATCATTATGTTGCACGGTTTTCTAATCGAGGCTCACTACTTATCAATCACCCCTCGTATATGTGGTATGAAGATTGCCATAAAATCTAAACGATCGGAACATAGTATTTGAATTTAAAAGTGGGTCCACGATATTATTCTTGACCAGTCATGGCCCAAATTCATCCAAGCAATATACAGAATATATTATTTTTAAATTTCTGAGATTTTGCTTCTTGTCATGATGAATTTTCGAATCTTAGATTTCCCGTTAATTAGTCGTTGCATGTGTGTGACTTTAAGCAATGGGTTTATTTTTCCCGGGGAACACATATCATTTCACTATTCCTGACAAAGTTATCTCTTTTCTGTTTGAAACGTCAATAAATATATATTTCAATAAAGAGGAACATTAT